TACACATGCGCAGCAATTACTATGCTTGTGATTAGTCTAATACACTATTTGTTAATACCAATACATACAGGTACTAGAAAAACAGTGCATTAACTAATGCACAATAGTGCACATGTAGACATTGACATTGCATGGAAACTGCACCCACTCAGCCACACCAGCAGGGGACCAGCCTCCAGCTTCATGCAGAGCCACATGGCAGGGACAGATGGTTAGCAATCCCCACCCGCGCCCGCCATCCCCAATCCCCCCTCAGTCCCCTCATAACCTCTCATAATTCCCCCTTCCCTCATAAGCCACAGCGCCGCCGTAACCTCTCGCAACCACCCCGGCCCCGCGCACCGGTGGAAGGCCTGCATGTGGCGGTACTTAGCGGGCACAGCCATGCAGCGCAGGTCGGCCTCGTTGCGCACGGCCTGGAAGTCGCCGCAGCAGAGCAGCAGGTCGAGGCGCAGGCGGTGGCGCCGCTGCAGCAACTCCAGCGTCTCGTACATCTTGTCCAGGGCGCCATGGCAGCAGCCCGCCACCGCCACCTTCATGGCCGCGACTGCGCAGGCGCCGGCAGCTTCCGCGCGCCGCGCCTGCGTCACCGACCCGAGCCAACCCCTGATCCGACACACAAGTTCGCGGCGACGTCATCAACTTCCCCTCCCTCGCCCCTTTCGCGCGCGATCATTACGGCATCAACCTGAGCCAACCCCACCTTCTTCCGGTACCGCCTCCCCTGGAGGGCGGTTTTACGTCACCGGCGTACTCGCACAGCCCCCAGGAGCGTGGGGCGGGCTCAGGCTGGGCGTGTCGGGGCCGGGGCGGAGATTGCGACAGCCTGATTCAGCCTCGGGGCTCTGCAGGCACCGCTAGCCCCAAAATAGGGCCAATACTAAAGCCTCCTCCGTCACGCGTTACATACATCACGCAATTGTGCAGTAAATTCAGACAGGCCACGCGTACTAAGCAGTTTCCTCAGGCTAAAAGGGACCCTCCGGCTATACGAGGTGCCAGCGCCACTGCAAGTGACAGCCTGAAAAGGAGCAGCGGATCAATAGCCGGTTACTGTCCTCATTTGAGGGCCCTAAAGTCACCCAGCGGAGACCCCCTGCCAGACAAAAAGCTCCACTAGCTGACAGTGTTAGCGGTTTTGTCCATCCTGAGAAACCCCCGTGTGTTCACTGTTATGCTGCCCACGGACCCTTGTCTCTTTCCATGGGGGCTGAAGGCAGCATCACTGCTGCAAGGCAGTCTCAGCTATGGTTATGGTTCACCAGGCTGGCCAGCTGGTCTAGCGAATAGAGCTGGGGGTTGCAAGGGTACAGGTCAAAAGCCATGAGTCAGGAGCCAAAATGCCAAGCCAGATATTCAGGAGCTGGGAACCTAGTTCCTAAGTCTGAAGGAAGATCCCAAGGGCAAAGTCTAGGAGTAAACCATGCCTGGTTGTCAGGAAGCTGAGCTGCAGGGAGAGGCCAGAGGCCAAAATCCAGGAGCAAGCTGAAGGGAGTGCCAAGAGGCAGGGAAGTCACTGACAAAGGATGAGGGTGGTCCCCAGTGATTTGAGAAAGGACGAGTATTGTGCCTGCATTTAAAGCAGGAGAGAAAGAAAGACCTAACAAATTATAGACCATTTAGCCTTACTCTGATTCATAGAAACATGCTGGAAAAAAACTAAGTGATCTGGCTTTCTTCTCATTTGTTGCTTACAAGTAAAGTGGATTTGTTCTTGACCAATCTACATCACACCAGCCACGTTTTGACAGGATACCTAGAGAGGTGAATAAGGTAGACATTCTAGAAGTGGCCTAACTTCACTTTGGTAAGGCTTATGACACTGTCCCATGTGGCATTCTCATATGCAATCTAGGAAAACAAGGCCTAGATTAAATTACCATGAGGTAGCTCCACAACTAATTGAAAAACAGCTTTTGAGGAACATTTAGCACAGGTTTGCTGTCAGCCTGTCCCATTTATAAGTGGGATACCACAGGTTTCTGTTCTCATCAGGTGCTAGTCATGATGGGGGCACCTATACACATGCAGTGAGGTTGCTCCAATGCGCTGTAATTACAGCAGAGCAGACTTGACTGAGTTGGAGCAGACTCAATTTCATAGATTTCATAGACATTAGGGCTGGAAGGGACCTCGGAAGATTATCAAGTCCAGCCCCCCGCCCAAAGGGCAGGAAGTCAGCTGGGGTCATAG